AGTGACTTGGGGACCCAAAGTTGTAGTTTCACCATGTGTTCTCATTGAAAGTTTCAAGGTCCCATTCTTTCCCACCACCACTCGTCGGTTTGGTTTGTCACAATCTTGTGGCTCTTGTGTGCTGTGGTGCTGGGAGCTGTGTCACTGGTATTCCAGCTACCAGCAGGCTCACCTAAGTGAGCAGCTTTCAGCAGAGCTTCCAGACTAGCTGCAGACCGTGAAGAAGGATCTGGCTCCCCCTTTCACAGGAAAACCTTATGCTCAGCTTTGGAAGCTAGCCAGATACTGAAGGCCCGATGACTGGAAGCAGAACAATGTCAGAGGTAGTGCCGGAGGATGGGCCCTGGGGACAGAGAACACGCACACTGTGACCGCGGAGCTGATTCTCGAAGTTGAGTTGACAGTGGTGACATTTGTCAGGTGAAGCCCGTGGGAGTGGAGCCTTCAGGACCATCATTTACTGATGGCGCCTGACTCAAGGTGAGGAGAAACAGCTGCAAAAGAGGTTTGGACAGCAGATTGACCTAATGCAAATTGTCTCTGGATCTCCTGACTGCTGCTTCCATGAGCAGTGATTGTGGATCCAAGCCCTTGACAACTTCAGCCTTCGCTCCATTGATCCTGATAGTACCTATTGGTCCACTTGTGAGGATTTGGGTCTTCTTTATACTGAGTTGTAATCCATACCGAAGGCTGCAATCCTTAATCTTCATCAAGTGCTTTAAGTCCTCCTCCCTTTCAGCAAGCAACATGGTATTATTTGCATATCACAGGTTGTTAATAAGCCTTTGATCCTGATGCCGCATTCTTCTTCTTATAAATCCATTTCTTTGATTATTTTCTCAGCGTACAGATTGAATAATTATGGTGAGGGAATACAACCTTGTTGCACACATTTCTTATTTTAAATCATGTATTAGTTCCTTGTTCTGTTTGTACACTGCCTCTTGTACAAGTTCTGAATGAGCACAATGAAGTATTCAGGAATTCCCATTCCTCTCAAGATTATTCATAGTTTGTTGTGATTCACACAGTCAAATGCCTGGCATAATCAATAAAACACAAGTAAACTTCTTTCTGGTATACTGTGTTTTCAGCCACAGTCCATCTGATATCAGGAATGATATCCCTTGTTCCATGTCCTCTTCTGAATCTGGCCGGAACCTCTAACAACTCCTTATCAATGTACTACTGCAACCATTGTTGGAAGATCTTCAGCAAAATTTTACTAGCATGTGATATCAATGATACTGTTCTATAATTTAAACATTCTGTTAGGTCATTTTTCTTTGGACTGGGTAGAAATAGGGATCTCTTCCAGTCAATTGGCCAAATAACTGGCTGCCAAATTTTAAACTGAATAAAATTTTTTGAAAGTCCATGAGAGCCAAACTATGACCTTGAATTTCGAGCCTATCTCAAGAACAGACTTAGCTCATTGAACACAAATGACAGAAGACCTGTTGAGCTGTGGGAGGACATAAAGAATGCCATTCATGAAGATAACAAAAGGTCATTAAAAAACAGAAAAGAAGGAACATTTCAAAGTGAATGTCAGAAAGATCAACTCCTCTTTATTGTAGAGTAGCTAGGGAAAGCGAACGGGGGTATTGAGTCACAGAGACGAACAGATCCTCATAACTGGCACTATAGGTAACATCATGATTTGGAGAAAAGATAGGTTTTGTCAAGGATTGTGTCTTGCTTGCATCTATATTCAGTGCTCATGGAAGAAGCAGTCAAGAGATCAAAAGATGCACTGTGTTGGGTAAATCTGCTGCACAAGACCTTTCTATAGAGTATTGCAAAGCAAGGATGTTATTCTGAGGACTAGGGTGCACTGGCCCACCCCATGGTATTTTCAATCACCTCATATCCGTGTGAAAGTTGGACACTGGATAACGGAGACAGAAGAATTGATACATTTAAATTGTGGTGCTGGAGAATAATATTGAAAGTACCATGAACTGCACTCAAAGGACAATCCTATCTTGTCGGAAGAAGTATGGCCAGAGGGCCCCATAGAGGCAAGGATGGCAGGGCTTTCGTTTTACATACTTTGGATGTGTTGTCAGGAGAGACCAGTCCCTGCAGAGGGACATCCTGTTTGGCAGTGGAGGGGCGGGGGGGAAAAGAGGAAGGTCCTCTAGGAGGGGATTGAGGCTGCGGCTGCAGCAGTGGGCTCAGAACACAGGAACAATTGCAAAGGCAGCGCAAGACTGGGCAGTGTTTAGTTCCTCTGTTCACAAGAGCACTGTGGGTCAGAACATGGCACCATTCTCTCCCAATGAGTGCTCCCGTGTGTACATGAGAAACTTAGCACGTCTGTGATTCAAACGTAACCCTGACTGGAATGCAAACCAAGGAGAGGAAAATGATGACTCATTATCACCATTACTATCTAATGTAGCCATTCAATAGGAAATGGAAATAGACATATAAGCAATGAAAGGGAAGATATAAAATTATTCTTTTGTAATCAATATGATTTCTACCTAGGCAATCCAAATAAGCTCACTGAAAAGGCATCAGGCCCCATATGAGAGGACATAAGGAAACTTGATTAGTACGCAACAATGGCTAGCCTTCTGATCACTGTGCCCTTAAAGACATGGCCAAGAGTATTGACTACAGAATTGTTACAGTGCCAAAATTTTGGAACAATCCAAATGTCCACTGATAAAACAATCTGAATGTCCACTGACAAAATTGTATCATGCATATTTGTACATATGCTGACATCATTATTTTCTAAGCATTTGCTTTCTATTGAACCCTTAGTAACAGCTCCTCTTTTTTCCCTCCCTCCCCCTCCCACCTTGTAAACCCTTGATAAATTATAAATTATTATTGTTTTCATATCTTACACCATCTGCTGTCTCCCTCCCACATTTCTGTTATTTGTCCCCTTGGGGAGAGGGGTTATACATAGATCCTTGCGATTGGTTCCCCATTTCTCCCCCCTTTCTCTCCCCAAAGAAAAAAATTTAATGGAATCTGGAACAGTATATATACTATACTATTTATATTAAAAAAATACCCCACCACACACACACACACACACACACACACACACTATTAACATGTATGTTTTTGGTTACAGAAGTTGCATGTTAAATGCCGTCACAGGGACCTCAGTGACAAGAGTACATGGGATTTTCTTAGGCTACAGAAGCAAAGCACCAAGTGTTGAACCCTGGTGATGCAAACAGTTGAGCGCTCAACCAGTGGTTCAGCCACCCCAGCTACTCAGAGAATAATGAAACTGTGCTCCGGTCAAGACTGACAGCCTTGGAAAAAACTCGATGACAATAGGCTGGGGTTTGTTACATGCTATGCATCCCAAACACTGAAAACAGGTGGCAGGATACATGATTCTGAAAGTGCAGGGGCTGTTAGTCGTCATTGCTTTGAGGTGCCATGGAGTCAGTTCTGACCCACAGTGACCTTGATGCACAGCAAAATGAAACACTGGGCCTGCACCATCCCCACAATTGTTCTTATGTTTGAGCCCATTGTTGCAGCCACGGTGTCAATCCATCTTGTCAAGCGTCTTCCTCTTTTTCACTGCCCCTCTCCTTTACTAAGCATGATGTCCTTCTCCAGGGACTGGTCCTCTCCTGACAACCCATGCAAAGTATACAAGGTGAAGTGCAGGGGTACAGCTGAGTCAAATAGCCTATCAGTTTTTAAAATATCATCTAGAAATTCTTCCCTTAAATTTGAAGTTGTTTATGGAAAATGTGTTAGTTTTTTCAAAGGCCGTCTATGTTATAAGTAAGCTGGATATGCAACAGGGATATTCTGAAAGGATCTCCCTGAACTTAGACATATGTCTAAACTTGGCTATATTATAGGTGTAGCTTGGGTTGATATTACAATTAGAAATGTTAATTAAAATAATTTCTGTTGCATATAATTCACACAAGAGGAAATAAATAAGTTCATGGAGAAATGCTCAGTTCTATTTGTTAGGAAAAAATGCAATATAAAATAACCCATTAAGTTAGCAGAATTTTAAAAATATTTAACATGTCAGAACTGGTAAAGAGAGAGTGAAATTAGTGCCTGCATACATTGCTGTGGGTAGTGTAGATTAGAAAATATTCAAAGGATTTATTAATAATAGCAAAATACTTGGCTTGTTGACAGCCATCTCATGATCAAGATTTACTCTTAGTAATAATTGCAGTGAAGGAAAATGAAGCTTTAATTACATAACAACTAAACTGAAAACAACCAAAATATTTGGTGGGGAGGGAGAAATGCTATACAATTATTTTAAATTATTTAGTGAAGATACCGTAATAATATGAGTGAAGCCATAAGCCTTTGAGTCAACTCCAACTCATAGCAACCCTGCAGGACTGAGTAGCACTATTCTATGGAGTCGAAGCTGTACAGTCACAGACTGCTCCACTGCCTCCCTCTGAGTGGCTGGCCTTCGTTCAACAGTCCAAGGCTTAATCCACCGCGCCACAACACCTCCTGTCTTTAAGGAAATATTGCCTTAAGTGGGAATACGCTATTTTCATCATTAAAAAAACCACGTTTATTTTAAAATTACAACTATGGTGCAATATAGGCATAGGGGTAGAATGTGAACTTTCAAAATCAGAAGACAAAATTTTACCTGCACTCAAATCAGTTATATGAAATATTTTTCCATATGGATCTATTTCAAAGAAAACAGGCTACCATGAGTTCTACAGGCTGGAGGACCTGTGGTTGATTTTTCTTTCGTTAAAAACATTTTTATTTTTGGCTCTTCATGGCATAGCGTATTGTGTTGGGCTCCTAACTACAAGGTCAGCGGTTTAAAACTGTCAGCCACTCGGTGGGAGAAAGATGAAGCTTTCTACTCCCATAAAGAGTTAAAGTCTCGGAAAACCCTGGGGCAGTTCCACCTTGTCCTTTAGGGTCACAATGAGTTGGAGTTGAGTCGAGGGCAATGAGTTTGGCATCTTAAACATCAGGAGATAGAGGTTCTTGGGACCCACCTGCTGCTCCTTTTTAAGGAAAGCTTCGATCTCCATATGAATCCGGTTCTCTTCTTCAGTTTTCATCCTTAGCTTCTGCAAGGATGGCAAAGACACATCAGGAGTATGTGCTTCCTGGCAGGGTTGGGGATCAGAAGTTAGAAGTTCTCAAGCTATGAGATAAGCTGAGCTTCTAACCGTTTAAAATAAGATAAGCTGTGACAGTTCAGTTGACATCAATTCATGTTACCAAATACTGCTGGGCCAGATAAAAACAAGTTCCCTGACCTCTGGGAAGTGATGTCCTTTTAAGGAGTGAAATAAAGCTGCAAGGGAACAGTGTTCTTGGGCCTCGGAAAGGACCCTCCAGAGAGCAAGGAAAAGTTGGTGCCATGGTCTTCAGCTAGACCTGGGGGTAAGCTCTGAACAGAGCAGAGGATGCTGACAGAGAGGTGACGCTTGCTACTGAGATGGACGCCTGACTGATCTTTGCTGGAAGATAGCATTCCCTCTTCTCTTCTACCTGAACTTTGTTTAGCTGTTTCGCCTGCATCTGCTAACAAAAGGTATCAGTTGGGTAAGCAAGCAACAGCCAAAACTAAGCATCTTGCTTTGCCCTTTTCCCTATAAATTACCCAGAACAATGGCTAGTGGTTTTATAAAATACAGCGAGGTAAAGTGACCAAGAGACAACAGGGCGAGCACAACTGCTTTCCAGGGTTGTTATAACGAAGCAAGAGGCACAGGCCCCAGCTGCTCATCAGACTCTGCTTCCACTTACGTAAAGCCTGGTTCACTCTTTATTTTCAACCTCCAGTCCTGGGGCTGTTGAAGAGAGAGCAAAAACAGGAACATCTCCCTCTCCCTGGCCCTTCATTAGCTGAGCCCAAATCGGAGGGGCAATTTAAGTCCTAGCCAGGAGCTCTTTCCTAAAGTAGCAAGAGTTACCTCAATCTCATCCAGCAGCTGTTCCTCTGCTCTGGCACATTTTTTATGGGTCTGGGTGATCTGTAGCTCCGTGTTTTTCTTCATATAACAATTCTCCATGTTGGTTTTGGCCTTCATCTCTTGGAGCTGGTCCCTGAGGTGAGCGATATATTCATTCCGATTCTGTGGAGGAAAGACCAGGTTTCTAAATTAAAAATTCATTGTGCCTTCTTTTAATTTGGGCTGTGGCCTTAAGTTCATCTTTGAATTTTATGAATCGACCATCTTGTACATCATCACCCTATGGAAATGTTGGCCTGCGCCGATGGACAGTAGAAGTGAAAGTGAAAGACAACAGGTTGTTCTAAGAATCCGGACGGTGAGGTTCTCTCCTAGGGACATTTGGCCATCTGCAGCCAGATTTCCAGTACTATCTCCGAATGAAAAGTCACTCGTGGTGTGACTTGGTCAACTCACTGAACCTCTCCAAGTCTTTTCTTCTGTAGACATGTCTGTCTACTCCGACTAAACCATCTCAGAGAGCGATACAGGGATGAAGAACATAGGTGACAACTGAAAGCTACAAAATGTTCTGCAATGTTGAGGTCTCAATATTCATGAGGAAAATATTTATTTTGTACCAGGCACTGAGCTAGGTACTGGGTAATTAAGTAGTGACGATCTAAGCAGACATGTTTCCTATCCTCAGGGTGCTTAGTGAAAGAAATGTGGTTTAAAGAATATAAAGATGTGTAGACCTTTTTTTTCTTTCAGGAATTGGAATTTATTGGGGTTTCTCATATACCCACTGAGGACCATTCTCACCCTTCTTACTAGTTTTAAGGGAAGGGAGGACCAACGCAGGGTATGAAGGTTACCCAAACAAGGAGGTCAACAATATGCTGATGGAACCTACAAAGTCAATATACTTTAAATTTTGACAAATATTTATATTTAAAAATTGAGGTAGATAACCAGAAAAAATTTGAAAACGTTTTACTTGCTTAGACATATTTTATTAAAAATCATGTTTAAAGGTTGGATGAATAGCATACAGTCTTTTCTGGATAGGAAAAATATATAGTGCATTGGGGTAGTGGTGAAGGAATGTGCACAAAAGTAAGTATTTATTGGATTTCTTAGATAATTATGAGACTTCATTCCAGTTATTTAAGATTTATGGTCTATTATGCCAGGAATGAAGAATTGAAGAGGAATAATGCCACATTCACCACCTAAAGGAAGATTTCAGGGTCTACCCTGAAGTATAATGCTGGCAATGATAGAATAACATCTATACTTCTACAAGGACGTCCAAATACTATGACTATCTTTCAAATTTATACACCAACTAGGGATGCCAAAGATGGAAGAAATGCAAGGTGTTTTACAAACTTCTATAGTCTGAAATTGATCAAACATGTACTTAAGATATGTTGATAATTACTGGTGTTTGAAATGTGAAAGTTGCAAACAAAGGATTACCTGCCTATTGATAGAGACGAGGCCAGAGATTGCAAGATAGAATTTTGCAACACCAATGACCTCTTCATTCCAAATCTTTTTCCAATAACTAAAATTGTGACTATATATGTAGACCTCATCAGATGGAATATTCAGACATCAAATTGACTCTAGCTATACAAAGAGATGATGGAGAAGTGCCAGTATCAGTCAGAACAAGGTCAGGGGTTGAGTGCAAGACCAACCAAGCTACATGATAAAGACCAGAAATACAGAGTTACAATGTCGGGCCTTTCTGCCTGTGGAAAACAGAAGATACTACATGCTATACTCATTTATAAGGTCACACAACATTGGTCTATGGTCACATAGTGCCAGCCAAAGGCATCTGGTTTTGGTGCTGTCGCCATGGATCAATGGTTACTTGAGCTCCCTCCTCCATTGCTGCTGTTCTACACAACTTATGTTTATAGTGAGGCGATTGTTGTGGACCACTGAGTCCATTCTGACTCGTAACAACCCTGTAGGACAGAGTAGAGCTGCCTCATAAGATTTCCTAACGTGATCTTTTTTTTTTTAAATCATTTTATTGGGGGCTCAGACAGCTCTTATCACAATCCATACATCCATCATGTCAAGCACATTTATACATTGTTGCCATCATCCTTTTCAAAACATTTTCTTTACTTGAGCCCTTGGTATCAGCTCATTTTCCCCCCTCCCTCCCAAACCCTTGATAATTTATAAATTATTATTTTTTCACGTCTTACACTGACCGATGTCTCCCTTCACCCACTTTTTTGTTGTCCAGCCCCCCCAGGGAGGGGATTATATGTAGATCCTTGTGATTGGTTCCCCCTTTCTCCCCCCACCTTTCCCTTACCCGCCTGGTATTGCTACTCTCATTATTGGTCCTGAGGGGTTTATCCGTCCTGGATTCCCTGTGTTTCCAGTTCCTATCTGTACCAGTGTACATCCTTGGTCTAGCCGAATTTGTAAGGTAGAACTGGGATCATGATAGGGGCGGGGTGGGGGGGGCAAGGGGGAGGGACGCAACTAGAACTAGAGGAAAGTTGCATGTTTCATTGGTGTTATACTGCACCCTGACTGGTTCATTTCCTCCCCATGACCCCTCTGTAAGGGGATATCTGGTTGCCTACAGATGGGCTTTGAGTCTCCACTCCGCACTCCCCCTTCTTCACAGTGGTAAGATTTTTTGTTCTTTGATGCCTGATTCCTGATCCCTTTGGTACCTCGTGATCACACAGGCTGGTGTGCTTCTTCCATGTAGGCTTTGTTGCTAAGCTGTGATCTTTATGGGAACAGATCACCAGGTATCTCCTGAAGAGTCACTGGTAGGGTAGGACTGCTGACCTTTATTTTATTTCTTGCGGGGGGAGGGGGGTACTGCTTGCCTTTTGATTAGCAGTCAACTGCTTAACAATTATGCAACCTGGCTAATGATGGTAAAAAATCTTACCGACACACTAGTAATAGTAAAAACTATGATAAAAGCATACACTAACAAGTAAGTTGAAGTGTCATTCTATTTCCTCATCTTCTCAGTGGGCAACAAATAATCTAGAAGCAGTGGGTTTGTATTTGTTTGGATTCTTTTAAAGATTTTCATTAAGAAAGCCTATGCCTTCACCACCAGCCAGCGTCATAACCCTGGTGTCCGTGTTGTCTGGAGCTTTCCCCATGATTGAAGTTTGTGGACTAACACAGCATGTTTGTGGGTTTTCAAGGCAGACAAAACTTTACTTCCAAATTCCCAAACTGCCTTCAGGGCTGGACTCCTGGACTTGTTACTGGAATTCAGAGAAGACTTAATCATGGAAAGAAGCAGTCAACCAATGAGAGTTAGTAAGGTGCTGATGGCTGTCCACAAAATCCTGTGCCAAAGGTTTCTTTAATAGGAGCGTCTGCTTTCCTGATTGAACACAAATGGGGAAGAGATGACTGGTTTCTGGATTTTGTGGAAGCTACAGTCTGGAGAAGTTGGAACTTGTTTCATATTTCAGGCTGCCTCTTGGGTTGGAAATGGGATGTAGTCCATTAACTGATAAAATTCATAAGAAAAAATATAGTTTTCTAATTTTAAAATGAGCATATATATATAGAGAGAGAGATGGCAAAGAATGGTTGGTTCTATGAGACTTTATGGATAAACTGAGCTAAACAGAATCTCCCATTCTGAGATGCAGTGAAGATAATCAAATCCAGCTTTCTTTTTTTTATTATTTGTTTTGTTTTGTTTTAAGTACAGCTTTCTAAGGTTTCAAGTTCCAGTTGTAGCCATAGCTTTCGTTTCCATTTGAATATCCCTCTTCCCAAGCCAACCATCTGCTTTCCTCTTATCTTCCCTCGTGGAATAGTTTCCACACACCTCACTGTCTTGGCTACCCTCTCTGTACTCCAACTATTCAACTTCTTGTAACATCTGATGCCTAAAATGGTACATGATCTTATGGCTGTGTGACCACAACAGAGTACAGAGGAGAACTCTCACTCTCAACCCTCTCCCCCCACCCCCCGCCATCCTTGCTGCTGTGTAAATATGATATATAATGGCACTAATTGCAGTTAACATATCATGGAGGAAGCACTCCAATATTTTTTATATTTTATGAAATATGTTGAAGATCAAGGATTGCAGCCTTCAGTATGGATTACAACTCACTGTAAAGAAGACTAAAGTCCTCACAACTGGAGTGACATCATGATAAATGGATAAAAGGCTGAAGTTGTCAAGGATTTTGTCTTGCTTGGATCCATTATCACTATTCATGGAAGCAGCAGTCAAAAGATCAAAAGGCATACTGCATTGGGTAAATCTGCTGCACAAGACCTCTTTAGAGTATTGAAAAGCAAGGATGTTATTCTGAGGACTAGGGTGCACCTGACCCAAGCCATGGTATTCTCCATGGCCTCATACTCAAGTGAGAGTTGGACACTGAATAAAGAAGACCAAAGAAGAATGGATGCGTTTGGATTGTGGTGCTGGAGAAGACTACTGAAAGGACCATGGACTGCTGAAGCGACAAAGTGATGTGTATTGGAAGAAGCAACACCAGAGTGCTCCTTAAAGGCAAAGATAGTGAGGCTTCATCTCACATATTTTGGGCTTATTATCAGGAGAAACAGTCCCTGAAAAGGACATCATGCTGAGTAAAGTGGAGAGGCAGAGAAAAAGAGGAAGGCCCTCAATGAGATGGATTGACACCGTGGCAGCATCAACGGGCTCATGCACAGCAGCAATTGTGAGGATGGTGCACGGCCATGCAATGTTTCATTCTGTTGTCCACAGGGTCACTATGGGTCAAAGCCAATTCGATGACCCCTAACAACAAAAATGTGTTGTCAGGCTTGTTAAGACTGAGAGAAAACTGTTAGAAGAGACACTCTCAAAGAAAGGCTAAGAAGTAAGAAAAGACAGGAAAATTATGTTCAGGGAAATGAGAAGTCCTAGCTCCGATGGGGAAATAACTCCTTGGCTTCCTGTTCTGATAATATCCTCAGCAGCAGTTCCCACAGTGGATGACTTCTTGTTCATGCCAGACAGTAGGATGAGGAAAGGCAGCTGCTTTCAGAAACCCTTCTTCGGCATAAAGCCATGTATGACTCTGGGACAGACTAGATATAGCATTAGCAAGCAAAACAGACTATAAACCCAGAAGCTCACCACGGTAGTAACAAGCTTAGACCTAGACGATGGATTTCTTAAATGATGAATTTCTCATCGACATCCCAACATCTGCTCCCTGCAGCCCTTTTCAGCTTCCTCTTATGCCACGCTCTGGTTTTCTCTCCAAACGTCACCCTTCTTTCAGGTCCTCAAAAACACTGAACAGAATCCTCCCTGAATCTTAGAAGTTCTGCTTCTGCTACTGCCAAGAAGATCCTGCTAGATGTATCCTCCCCTGACGAATAACTCTAAAGCCTGGACAAAAGTCTAAAAGCAGTTATATAAAAACATTTGAGAGTATACAAAAACCAAGCAGATTTTGGAGGAGTGTAGACATCTAAAATAAAGGAAAACACAGGATAAGTTCCCCCATTAAAAATCACATCATTTTATTGGGGGCTCTTACAGCTCTTATTACAATCCAAACATCCATTGTGTCCATTGTTTTTCCCCTTTTAAAAATAAAAACAGGAGACGGTCAAGTGAATTGCAGGGGGTGGGGGTGGACACATGCACACTCATGAACACACACGCCTAACTAGCCATCCACCGAAGCACACATACCGGGTGCCTACAATGTTTGCCAAATCCTCCCTCACCCCTTCTAAGCGCTTGGTTCCCAACACACTCCGCTCATACGGCGGTGCG